TATATATATATATATATATATATATATATATATATATAACTAAACTGTTTTCTGTCAAAACAAGGTCAAAATACTTTACATGAAGCCCTTGTTGCAAACTTTTCTCAAAAACGGCTTCAAATGTTTTCTTTAAACTTTTGGTAGGGGTAGTACTAAATGTACCCTATAATGCACATAAACGCAATATTGCTATATTTTATTGTTTTTTCAAAGACTACAAAAATTGAATTTTTTGCTCGTCTCTCAGGTCGTTAATATTTACATTAGTGGTAATTTCTATACATTAATATATTTATGAGTACATGTGCTCAAAGTAATGTCAGATAAAATTTCCCGAAAACTCAACTTTTTTCCGTGAAAATGAGGTCAAAATTCCTCATTTTTAGAACCTCTTAAACGCCATTTTCTCAAAAACGACTTATCATTTTTTTCAAACTTTTCCAACAGATAGTGCTAATTGAACTGATTATGATGACACAGAATTAATTTTGCTGTATTCATTTGTTAAATAAAGAAATGTAATTTTTTTGAAAGACATCTTTTATATGCACACTTCCAGCGTTTTATAAACATTATTTCATTAAGTTTTTCGAAACGTATTTGTGAAAAGAGGTTCAAATTTCGAATTTACAGTAGCGCTTAAATGCAATTTTCATAAAAGCGGCTCCAAAGTTTTCAAAGAAAATTGTCATTAAGGACAATGTTTTACTGTTATTTAATATTCTTAAAATAATATTTCCGCTCTACTATTAAGAAGTCTACTATTATTACTACTACTATTAAGAAGCCGAAAAATTAAGAAAATTAAAAAAAATATGGCGGCGATAGATTGCAAGAGTATGTGGCAAGTCCGAAGCCGAGACCAATGGAAATAGAATTAATACGGGAAAGTCTGTGCCATGCTGTAGCATCACTAGTTAAATTTTATTGAATGCCTTTCGATGAATTGTTATGAATACATTAAAAAACGAACAAACTGTATTCTTTCTTAAGTCACAAATAGTTTTTGTTTTTTTAATAATAAAATAGATAATAAAAAGTAACTGCCATTAGATAGATAATGAAAAATAACTTGCTCTCGTAGCTCAATGGTGAAGTCGCTTGCCTTTCACAACTGAGATTCCGGGTTCGGTCCCATAGAACCTCGTGTGAAATTTATTACGACAAAACGAGTTTGCATGCTTCACAGGGGCTAGTACAACCCCTGTGAAGTGTCCTCAACCCTACCCCAATTCTAGCCGCTGAGTAGTGACGCAGAGTCGCGTAGTAAGAGGCGCGTACACGGAGATGCTACTTGGTGGCCCTCTTGAAAACTGACTGCGACGAGACGTGACAGATACGACCTGACATATATGAATTAGTGGAGGACAACTCCCGCGCTGTATTATTGGAGGATTAATCCGGAACCGCAAAGCGCTCAACGCCCCGCGAGGCTTTGAGACTCGTTGCGTCAATGAAAGACCCATGCGAGCATTCCGCACTTTGTAATTCATTGTTTTAAAAGTGAACTAGTGGTGCAACAGAATGGCACAGACTTTCCTAAATTAGGTGTCAGTTTCATTTGGTTTGGGCTAGCAATTCTGACTTGTTACACAGTCTTGCTAGCTGCTACAGACGTCCAAAGATTTTTTGGGGGCTTTCTCAATTTTTCGCTTTCCTAATAGTAGAACCGAAATATTAATTTAAGAATATAAAAAAAAGCAAACTCTCGTCCTAAATGGTAATTTTCATCGAAACAATTTGGAGTCGTTTTTAAGAAAACTGCATTTAAGCACTGCTTTAAATAAAAAAAATTGAAAATTTTTGTTTCGAAAAACTTTATTAGAAGATTTTTGAAGCACTTATATATGCGGTAGTGTAAAAAAAATCGTTGGAAATGTGTATATTAGCGGCGTAAGAGATCCTTTAAAAAAAGTTTTGTAATTTTTGAAAAAAAAACAAAACAATACTCCGAAATGAACTTTACTTCATATTAAGGAGTGTAATTAGCACTATCCGTTCGAAAAGTTTGAAGGAAAAATTTGGAGCCGTTTTCGAGAAAATGACGTTTGAGCGTTTCTGAAAATGTGGAAGTTTGAGCTACTTTTCTCAGAAAACGGTCGAGTTTTTGAGAAACTTTATAGGACATTATTTAAAGCGCAGGTACTCATAAATATAATAATGTGAACTAATTGCAGCTAGTTTAAATATTAACGACGTGGGAGACAAGTAAAAAAATACATTTTTGTAATTTTACAATAACAAAATAATTGAGCAATATGGCGTTTACGTCATCTTATAGAGTTCATTTTGCACGAAAAAAAAGAGTCGTTTTTGTGAAAATTTTGAAAATGTCCGGAGAGCTTCATGTAAAGAACTCCCAAATTTTGAAGAATGTTTTCCAAATCTCAAAGTTTCCGCTCGAGCCAGATGGACAGGATTTTTTTCAATTTGGAAAAAATCCTACATACGGTTAGGTGCTAGTAGTGTTCAGGTAGTGTTCACGAACACCTGACGGACAGACGGTCGAACAGACGGACGTTTTGAAAAACAACAACAACAACAACACAACAACAACAACAACAACAAAATCTTTTTCTCAATTAGGAGACCTCAAAACGCGTATATGCATAAAAATTTCGAAATCAATTTTCCGCAAAGTTACATAACTCTTGGTATTCTACGTATATATCTACGTATACGAGAAAGTAGAGTAACGTGATAAAGTGTTAATTCGTTATCTCGCTTGTAAAGAAACTTTCCTTGTAAAGCAAGGTTAAAAATTGGTCTTGAACAACATGTCTGAAGGGGTAGACTTTATTATCCCGTGCTATTTACTTACTACAACTACAATCTAACAACCATTTGCAATTTTCTACTTAATTGTTTAATATCGTTAGTTTTATGGAATGTTCACGACAGGTTTCGGGGCCATCTCGGTAGGCTTGAGACAAGTAGGGGAGAATTTTGTGTCCACAGTTGGCAACATCGAATTGCGCCTGAAAATTAGCCTTCTTGTGATGTAATGGTGACGCTAAGGTTGACGACTTTCCAGGGGCGTAGAATTCTGCATTTCGTTTGAAAATTGTGTAGAAAATAAATTCTGTGAATCATAGTTTTGTAGTACTGTGTAAGTATGAGTGCTATAGGAAGATATCTAAGGATCCAGCATGAATATTGTTCTAGAAATGTGGTGTTTTTTGAGTCCGTTACTCTTTTCTTTCCCAAAACGAAAGTATGTATTTCAACTGAATAGCCAACTTTTTGTACATGTAGTATTTGAGTGCAGTTACTTCAGAAATTCCAAATTAAATTATTGAGTAAATTGGATATTTTCAATTAGGTTTGTAACATACCATGTTATTGTGTATTAGCCTCCTAGCATGTCATGTTTTAAATATTACAACATAACTTTTTTATTCAAGGATAAGCGATGTTCAATCTTAAATGGATTGTTTCACATTATCTTCTACCACATTATGAATTATTTGTCTTTATTTGAAGAACATATAAGTGTATGTTTTAAATTTTTGTTTCAGTTACCATCATTGTTCAGCATGGCTGCAGGTAATGGATCAAATGGTATAATATACTTTTTTGGAATATTTTCATAATTAACATTGAGTTAGAAATAATACTTACTGGTAAATTTTTGTGTGATAGAGTCATCAAGATCAGAAACAAGAAGACAAGCAATGTTGAATGAGAGGAATAAAAAGGTTGCACAAGAGACTCCAACATATACTTGCCACTGTCAGAGAACATTTCATAGTAATACTGTAAGTTGTTACAATTGTCTAGCAATTTAAATTTTTAGGAATTGTTCTTTTTGAAAAAGGTCATGAATTTGTTCATTAAGGTTTCAAAAAGATGAATCCATTTTGGATTTGTGTGTATTCTCCAATTAAAGCTTAAGTGGAATTAAAGTTGGATCAGCTGGGAAAAGGTTGTCAAATGGTGAACTCATGACAACTTAATTTTTTTAAATTGAAGCTCCAGATTGGATAACCACATTCTAATTGATCAAATGTCAATCCACTTCAGTGTTAATTAGATAATTTCAGTAAGAAATAATAAACACATGATTTTGCAAATGTTTATCTACTTAGTTATATATCTTCCAAACCTTCATTTAAAGCAGGCCTGGGCATCAAGATCGCAACAATTTTCTTTTGTGTCAGTCTGTTTTATAATGAACTCTTACTAATGGTAAACCTGATTATCAGATTTTGGCATGATTCAGACATTAGATTAATTAGAAAATTTATGGATTCTTTTTTTTTTTTCAATTTTAATGCGAACTGGGTAAATAAATAACATTCTGGTTTCAATAGGGTTCATTTGTTTTGTTTAAGAAAAAAAAACAGACCCTCCCTCCCCTTCCTTCATAGATTCAAACATATATCGCACAATCACCTTTGCAGTTATTTACAAAACTAGAACTCATCTGAGTTAAAGTTTACCAGGCCTTGTTTATAGTAAGGTTTCCAGAACTTATGCAAAGTGGTACAGGAAGTTTTCTAGGTTATTCAGTTTGATCCCCCCCCCCAAATCCCTAGTTAGAAATCAAAGAAAGAAAAAAACTAGCAAGAAATTATAGAGGGGAAGCAGCAGTAAAAATATTTTAATTTGAAGAAAAGTGATAGTCGGTGTGTAATGTCAGTCATTTGTGATAAATGTATAATTAAAATTTTTGTAAAGAAACTAGTATTTTTTGAGGGCAGCTCAAAGCTGAACTATTAATTTAAAAAGTATGTTTTCTAGTAAAGAGTCTACATTTGTATTATATTTCATTGTTTCCAGTATTTTATGGAGATGCAAACAAAGTGCAGCTCGAAGTGTGCAATGTTAGACTATTAGGGTTCATTTAAAAGCATTTCATTCAAAGAATTGAAGGGTTTAGGTCTAGGTAGTCGTAAGCCACATTTTCTTCAATTATTAGATAATCCTATTAACATACTTGCCGTATCGAGTATTATATTTAGTGCAAGTTTTGAGGTGTTGGTGTAACAAAAGAAGTTGTATTATAGTCTCTTCTTTACTTTGACTAAGAATGTTGGATTGAAACCTTTCTTAGTTCCAAGAATGAACTGAAGTGACAAAGGACACTCTAGAGCCAAAGCCAAGCTCTTCAATTCATTCCTAAGGATAGAATGTTAATAATTCAGTTGAACACATTGCATTAATTAACTGATTCGCAAAAACTGGAAGATGTGGAGAAATTTAGGATTAATTGTGTGTTTGTGAATAATGTAACTTTTTTGTAGATAAATATAATGAGTTAAATATGAGATAGATTTTTATCACCTGCTTGTTGCAGAGTCTGCTTTAACTTGAAGTAGATGAGGGAAAACATTTATTTTGGATCAAAGAGTATTAGACAAAGTTTTAATTTTAAGTTTAATGAGCCTTAATAAGACCATGATTTATTTATATGAAGATCAAAATAAAATTTCCTGAAGTTTTTTGTTTTCAGAACACAGTTTTTAAAATTAACTTTTATAGATATCTGATTCAGTGATAAACAGGAAACACTGCATGTTTATATTCAAAGTTATTTAAAGTAATTTTATTTATTGCATAGTGAATAATAATATACGCTTGTCAACACTAGCAAATAGAATTTTAAGAACTCAAATTTAGTTGATTTGAATTTACATTAAATGATTTCCTACTAATATTTTAATGTTTACCGAAATAAATATTTTAGGGTCTGAAGCGGCACCAAAAATTTTGTTCAGAATCTAATGGAGGATCAGGGAGTAGCCGTAGTACAAGATCTCGTGATCATTTGATAAAAATGGAATCTTTAGAGAATGTGGAGAACGTGGATGATCCTGACACTTGTGAGGAAACTTCGCAGGAAAGTTTAAGTGATGAGCCTAATTCTAATAATGAAAATGAAGAGAATTCTAATAACAATGAACATTTGGAAGATCAAATACAAGATGTGATCATGGATAAAGTTAATGAATTAATTGATCAAACATCATTGGGTCCAGGGAAATGTCACTGTTGTGGTGAGGATTTGGATACTGCTCACTTGGTAAGGAATTTCAATATTTTACTTCCAAAGTTTGTGTTTGAAGAATTTGCAAAATATGTGTTTTTTGTTAATATTTTGGTTTCTAGGGTGGGGATTATCAGTGTGTGGATTGTAATAAAAGCTTCAAACTCAAATCTAGCCTTGAACGTCATCGACGTGTAATTCATATGGAAGGAGAAACTTATGAATGTCCAGAATGTGAAGCACGTTGTCCAGACAAGGGAACTCTAGCCCGACATATGTATACTCATACTGGTTTAAAACCTTATTCTTGTTCAAGATGCAAGAAACAATTTAGTAGAAAGTATCACTTGGAACGTCATGTTTTACAAACTGGATGTGATGGTAATCCTAAACCAACTCATCCTTGCCAGGTAGGTTTGTTGTCTTATGCTCTAAATTAGATTTTGGTAATGTTCTTTTATTTTTCACACATTTTCCCTTTACCAGTGAAAAGCAATATTTTGCTGTAATTGAAGTAGAACTTAAGGAACTAGTGCAACTTAAGGAAGCTCTTTCAGCAGTTAGCACTGCTCAGGTGAGGGTGAAACCCATGATGGAGCAGACTTGGGTGCTGGCAAAGAGGCCTTGCCTGTGAAATCGCCCATGCCAAAGGGCTTGGGATTTAAATAAATTACATAAATTAAGAAATATTGGATGATTATTAAAATAATTTTAATGCTTTGTTACCTTCATCGCATAATTTCTAGTACTTTCATTTTGCATGATTCTGTGTCTGAGTGGAATGATAGTCAAAAATAGATTAGACAGCACATCTGTTGGTAGACAACACACTGAAAGTTATTTATTTACCAACAGAAAAATTTCCTAAAGACATTAATCAAGTTATTTATTTGATAAGTACATTGGCAGAAGGAAACATACAGTTTAATTGGATTAAAAAAGAAATGTACATAATGTCAAAATACAGATGCTAATAATTGTATATGTCAGTTCTAATAATAGTAAGTAGAATCAAAAGAATTAAATATACTTACATATCAGTATTTGATATGATAGTCGAAATCTGCTTGTTTGTATCAATATGTCATGTAGTTAGTTATCCATGTAATTTTCATTACCCAGTAGCACCATTAAGGATTTCCTATTAAGATTCCAAGTTTTGCTTCTATTACAGTATTAGTGTTCCAGGAAAATTCTCTGCAGATTTCTTTTAATTTGAAATCATATTTTTATTATAAATGTTACTTCATGGCCTGCCAAATTTAATGTAATATGAAATGACTTGGGAAAACTTTGTGAAATATAGGGGAAACAGATTCATGAGACAAGGCACTAGGAATGTATAGTAAACATTTTAAATTATTATAATTTCTTTCTTCTTCTTTCAGGTCTGTGGGCGTTTATTTAGTCGCAAAGATAATTTAAGAGAACACCTTAGAGCCCATGCTGGCCAAGTGAAACGAAAAAAAAGGTACCTTTGTGAAATTTGTCAAAAAGAGTTCCCAGGAGCTGCATTATTGCAAATGCATATGAGAATCCACACTGGTGAAGTGCCAGCTGGAAAACGATCATGTGAATATTGTCTTGACATATTTTAATTTTAAGTGCATGGCAGTATACTTTTCTTGTATGGAGCTAAGAGATTAGTAAAAGTTTTTTATAGAACATTCTTTCGACCTTTTTTTTTAATTTTAGAATTCAAATCTTGTTATAGAAATGAGCTCTAGAATGTAGATGAATCTATGGGCTTGCAAAGAATTGCATTACATATGCTTGGATGAATGTTGTTATGGTCTAAGATGAGTCTAAAAAGTTCAGTTTTGCGTTTAAAATTGAAGTGCTATTTTGGGATATTCATTATTGACTAAACAAATAGCTTCTCACATTGATTTTTCTGTGTCTCTTGATGTACGGTATATATATTAAATTATATGCCTACATTATTTTTATTCGTGTGAACTAATATTTTATGAACATGATTGGATTTCTTCTGAATTTCTTTGAAAAATTCATTTATTGTAAGCTCCACTTTTGCTGTTAGTATCGCAAATTCTGAATGTTTTGTTAGTTATGGTGTTATGTCTTTCATGTCATGTTTGTTATCTGTGATTCATTTGGTTCTTCATAATAATTCTATTTCACTCACTGATTTCGCTAGTTAGTTTGATTTTAAATTTTACTTCAAGTAAAAGTTTCCATCCTCATCTGAATCTCACTATTCTTGTGTTATGCGAGCAGTTCTTTATGTAAAAATATGAAAGGATTTTAGTTAAACCCTTCTTTTGTACTTTTCGAGAGATTGAGAATGGACGTGATTTTTTTTTTGGAACAATTAAAATATTGAATCAGAGATTTTTTAAAACAACAAACAAATAATATAATTTTTTTTCTCTATAATTTGTTCTTTAATTAGCATCATACTCATTTGTTTAAAAATATTAGTAGTTTTCATGTAGTCTAGAAGGAAAAGGCAATATTAAAAAGTGTTTAAAACAAGCTCTTCTCAAAAATGGCACTATTCTTTTTAAGAAAACATCTTGAACAGATAGTACTAAACACTATGTTGTTTGGTTGTTTTTTTTTTTTTTAGAACATAAATTTAATATTTGGGATATTTCTTAACACATTGTTCATATTTACATTACTGGTTATATGTACACATTATTACATTTTTAGAAGTGCTTCAAATGATGTCTTATAAATTTTCTTGAAAACTCTAGATTGTTCTGAGTAAATGAGCTTAGATTTCCTAATTTTCAGAAATGCTTGAATGACATTATCTCAAAGATGACCCCAAATTTTGTATTAAAATTTTTTGAGTGGATAATGCTAAATGCATTGAATAACATGACTAAAATGTCACAGCTAAATTCTTTTGTTTCTTCAAAAATTATAAAAAAGTAATTTAAAAATGTAAAAATAATTCAAATAACTAATTACAAATCAGGGAAAAGCAGCTTCAAATTGAGCCTTCTCAGAAACCCTTCAAATGACAATGTCTCAAAAATTTTAGACTTAACACACCTTCCACACATTACATTTTTCAATGAAAATTTATATAGGTTTGGGGTTTACACTTCATTCTTTATTTATTCTTCACTTTATTCTTTCATTTCTACCATTTTGGAGCCAAAAAGTTGAGGAAATGTGAAAAAAATGCCCTTGAGGCTGTAATAAATAGAACTGAAAAGAGGGTGGGGCAAGCTGAAAAGGTAGCCCAGAATAAAGGAAATAGAAAACTAACTAGTATGAGAAAGTCTGTGCCATTCTGTAGCACCAATAGTTGTAAATATGATTGTGCACTTTTGAAAGAACTAATGGTGCTAAAACACCATGCACTTTCTCTCCATTTGTAATGGTTATATAATACTATTTATGCCATAATTTCTCTCCAAATTATTTTTGTAAAACTCTTTTGAAATTGTAGAATGTGTGGTGTGAAAAATAAGCGTAATGCAAGAAACTAAAATATTTAAAAGTAATTAAATAATACGATGCTGATCACGTTGGAAGACAAATAAATAGAAAAATATTTAATAGTAATTATTAAACAATGTGTAATATTCTACAACTATATCAAAGTATTCGTTTTTATTTCCGTAAACTAAAGGCGTCAGTCATTATTATGTTTTCTGTGCGGCGCGACGTTACGGCAATGGGTATCAACAACCAACAATGACTACTCATCTATTCGTTTTCACATTTAACGCAATTAAAGGATGCAATTTAAAATGAAATGACATAAATAATAATAAAACCAAACGTGAAATAATATACAAATTCTAACTTACGTAGCATCCAACTACGTAAATTGAGAGGTGGCAATTTAAGGCAGGCAATCTGTATTTCCTATTTATTTCAGATAGGTTTTAAATAATTTCTGGATGATTAATTTGTAAACATATGACAAAAGTACCAAAAAAATTGTATCATCAAAATTGTAGTTTTTGGAAGCCGCTGAAAAAAATTATAAATTTTTCAACTTTAAAAAAATCAGTTTTCAACGAATATGAGACCTGTGCCATCATCTTAAACATCCTTCAATCTAACAAAAAAACAAAATTTAAACAACATTGATGGAGCCATTTGTTTTAAAAATTTGAAAATGTCCCAGCGCTTCATGCAATTGATTTTTTGGTATCAAGATATCAATCAAGCTTTTGGCTACAATATGTGTTAGAGATGTGTTTTTTCTAAATTATGCAACTGGATTTATCCATTTTTTCGTTACCAGTGCTCTGTAATAAGAGTGTGTCTGCCAAAAATTCACTAGTTTTTCATGCTGCATTACATAACTTCTCTTCTTAAGCATGCGAAAGTAAAAAGTTGTGTGTTTAGACATTAAAATCTGAAAAGGTCTCACTTGTATAGGATGATACATTAAAAAGAGAAAAATAGTTATATTTTGATGAGAATTGTACAGAAAAGAAGTTGAATTACATATTTTTTTCCGAAGTGCAGAGGATGAATTCAAATTTTGTCAAAAGTGGGTTCATAGGTTTCCGTGAATATGGTTTCAAAATACTGTTTTGTGCATGTGCTAGCGATCAAGTAACTTGAAGTCAATTTGGCATGTTAACTATGTCAGGGTTAAAATGCTGTTTGAGAAGGTCTTATATACATATAAACAAATTTTTATATATATTACGAGTAGGTAAAGAAGAGATCATAACTGTTCTTATGTCATAGTTGTTAGCTTGTGGGTTTTGTTAAATGCAGTTTGATTGCCTCATATATTTTAGTAAAGATTAAGTTGGTTTGCATACTATAAAAAGTAAATGATGCTTACTGAAAAGAAGAGTTCTGTCTTTTTGACTGAGGCACTAAAGTGATATGATCTGGCCTGGATAAGTTTTATTTACAAGTTGTGAATTTTTTAGGGGATAAGCCATATTTTTGTGACTTTTGTGAGAAGACTTTTCCATCCAGTGGAGCTATGAAGAAACATCGCCGAATGCACACTGGTGAAAGACCTTATGAATGCAAGGAGGTAAGTTATTAATATAATTAATATTTCTCAAATGTTTAGTGATATTGTTGATGCACTTGAAATTGTGTGTTCGGGTCATTTTGTATGCATCTTGACAATGTGTGTATGTGTTAATTGAACTTTCTTTCTATTGCTTTCGCATGGACAAATTTGGGGAATTAATGGTATGTTATTAAATATTATGTAGTATATTTATTATTTTAGTTTAGTTAGTATTTTATATTAGAATGTAATGTTTTGATGTAATTTTAATGCTGTGATATTTACACAGACTGATTAACAGTATGTATTAATAGTTTTCTGAAATGGAAAATGCTTTGAAAAAAGACCTACAACTTCCTATTAATGATAAGGTGATGATTGAGTGTCCTGCAATATTTTCTGTAGATTGTTTGTTTAAATGTACCATTGAGGTACAATATTCTGTGGCTATCTTTTTTTTTTTTTAATGTACTTTTTGTGCAGGAAATGTAGTAAGTACCACTATTTTATACATGTGTGATGCAAATTTATTGAGTAATTTGAAGTGAAGGAATTCAAATGTAATCCTTGAAAGATGTTTCCTGTAAAGTTGTATGTGAAAGATGTAGCACTTTGATTAGGAAAACTTAACTTATTTGATCTTAACTGCATTATCATGAGCAACAACTGTGCCTATTAAGTGCATCTACATTTAATGTTCCATAGTCTATATCTGTCATGTCAGACATGGCCCACGACCAGATCCAAAGATGTTTACTCACTCGCCCACAAATGACAATTAGAAGTCGCTATTGTAAACATTTCAATGAAAAAGATGAAATTTCCAAGTTACAACAATTGATTTAATTTTGAAGTGGCAGAGGTACCAAACCATTTGCAAATGGAATTGATAAATCTTCAATGCAATAGTGTTCTAAAAGACAAATTTAAGAGTCTCAATAGTTCATCTTAATAATGTTACAGAGTACATTGAGAAGTTGTACAAGTATTCAATGAACAAGAAGTTATAAAAGTAATGAAAAGAATGCAGCAACAATTTGGTGTCTGGCATTTTGTATATATGCAAACAGGTGTTTTCCATTTAGAAAATTAATAAGTACGAACATTGCTCAAGACTTAGTGATAAATATTTCCAGTCTCTACTTAAAATAACTAGCAAGAATACGAAATATTTTTCTTGATGCATGATTACATAACTTTCTCTTTACTACACATGTAGTATATGACTAGGGAATTGTCCTGTCACTATCTTGTGTTGATCAAAATAAAAACAATAGGGAGATAGATTTTTAACTTCCCTCCCAGTCGCAGTTTATCCGAAAATGAATAGTTTTCATAAGCAGACTTATAAATTCTTCAGATTTCTTTGACCAACTCTGAATGACATATTTAGTCTAATGTTGCCAATGTTAACTTTTGCAGCAGAAAATGCAGCTAACAGTAAGCAAAATAAATGGAGAAAGAAGGCCGATAACTTATTCAGCAGTCGGTTTCTCCTGCAGATATTTGGAAGGATAATCAATAGCTTTTTCAGCAGTCAGGATTCATGGGATTATGTTAGATGGTCAAGGAGAAAAGGATTTGATTCCATGTTGTGGCCAGTTTCATACTCGACAGCTAGTAACCTTTTGTGCCACAATGATGTAAATTGTTTCACAAAAGTTTACACAAAGTTTATAATTATTCATTACTATACTCGTCATTCGTATAATATATTACATTTAAGTTGTCATCTTTGAGAGCCTCATAGTTATTGTGTTTCTTGAATTATCTTATTCTTTATCTTAATTTGTCATTATTAATATTATTATTAATATTTTAGATACTGCCATTCAACCTTGCCCTTTAACATGCATTCTGAAACGTTCATTCAGAAATTTTAAAATCTATGTCATACCAAGTAGTTGTGACTAGGTATGCAAGTTAGTATGAGGGGAAAATGTAAGTTGGTGATTTAGAGTTTAGCAAATATTTAAAACTTTTAAAATGAATGAATGCAGCTGAAGCTCTAAAGGTTTGGTCTTGCACTGATGTAGTTCTTTATAGCAGAAATTTCACTGAACATGTTTCTGTCATATTTAGATTTATGGCAAGGTGGGGATATATGCAAAATAAACTTTGTTTACATACTTCAGGGTGCACTCCCTCCATATCTCGTGTATATTCACACTATATGAAAGAATTACATATAACCTCATTAGCTGTATAATTTTGCTATTAAATTTGTTATAAGATTTATTAATCTATTATTTTTACTTTGAATTGAGTTAGTGTAACTAATTGTACTTATTTCTTATAGTGCTTTGCTAAATTTGCTGCCAAAGAAACCCTTAATCGGCATGTAAGAACTCACACTGGCGTGAAGCCTCATATTTGCCAGTTTTGTGGAAAAAGCTTTATCCAAGCATCCCAATTGAGAGCCCATGTTTTTCATCATACAGGTGAGTGAAAACTTTTTGAAAATTTACTTCCAATTAGTCAAATATTATTTAATTTACAAAATAGTGCTTGGCCAAAGTCAATAAAAATATTTACAATAAAATTTCATGATCATTGTATCATAAATTGTGTAAAGGCAGGGGGCATTGTTTTTAAATATCTCAGTTTTTGTCTTTCCTTCATTATCTTCCTCCTTTGAATCTTTTCTACGCATACTTATTTTCTAAAATCTATTTTCAGGAAATGGTTGAAAAGAAATTTCTCATAACTCGTGTACTATATTAAAAATAATAAGCAACAAAAAGTAAATGTTAGGCATTGAAAAATTGGATATCTGTCTGAACCACGGAACAAAAACTAGGCCAAAATTTAAAATTTATTAGAAAATACCTGAGAAAAATATTCTCTTACAAACTCTCTCTTGAAATGCTTTACATGAATAAAATTGAATGAGCTTAATACACAATAACATCTCAATTACTTTTTTGTTTGAAACATTTGATAATGATTTTCAATAATTACAGAATAATTTACTTTTTATTAATCCTTTATTCTAACATAAAGGTTGTATTTCAAGACATTATAATTATCAACATAGACCTTTACAGATAGTTTACATGATTTCGTGAACTTTTTAAATAGTTTTGCACACAATTGGAAAATTTTATTTAAAAATAATTACATAGTTGTTGTTGTTGTTTTTTTCATCCCTGGAAAATTACTCTATTCATCTATTTTCTGAAAAATCCCATACCATTTACTTCAGAATGACAAAGTGAGTGTCATTTCATATAAGATACAATGTTAATCTATTACGTGCATTAAGCGACTCGTGTGCAGTCATTGATGCAGTGGGCATCATCAGCGTTAGGTGAGACGCATCAACTCAACGCAACGCTTGTGTAGCACAAACCATATATCCGTCTTCCAATGCACATTGATGATTTTTTCTACCTTTCTAAATATCCCTGTATTGTTATCAAATGAAAATTTGTGTAGACTCCTACCTGCTCAATAATGATTTTCACTGTATTTAAAACTTCTAGTGTTCATGTAACATTACATGCTTTATAATATCGCTTAATTTCAATAGTCTTCCTTTTATGGCCATTTTTAACGTGGCAAGGAGGTGGGAAAGTGTAACGTGAAATGCTTTCCAGATGGTTGTGTCAGGCAAATTGTAGTAAATTGCTGGAAAATTGAAATTATACCATTGTAAATGCAGCGTATTTATAACATTATAAATATACAAAAACATATGTTTTAGCAAGAACGAAATGTGATCTCTTTAATGTTTTTGATATAATCTGTCATTCTGAGGAGGATCTTGTGGAACTTTTTGAATTATGGAAAACAAAGGCACACAAAATAAAAAAAGTTCCCACTCGCAAAAACTTGACCCATGTTTCTCTATGTATGTTGACATGCTGAATCCCTGGAAGTTGTTGGACTTGAATCCCTGGAAATTGTTGTCTGACTCTTGAGACATGCCGCATCGTTGTTGTCTGACTCTGAATCGAAAGCCATGCAAAGTGCAAAATTTACAATTTTGAGATGTTTTTTGTCTTTAAAATAAAAACTGGAGGATAGTTGTGCAATTCTGAACATTATGTAATATACCATGTTGTATATTGTGACCAATCACACTTCCCATGTCACCCAAATGTATTGTAAGAAGAAATGGACTTGAGGAACATAAAAGGATGTGAATTTGAGAAAACTTTGCGAACTGAAACTTGATATTTATATGCTTGATCGAAGTGAGAGTCCACGAATTTCTTAAATGTAAAGCCCATCCTTATTATTTCTCGTTATTAAATTACTTGTTGGCAACTCAATTCGGCTTAGTCTTGGATTTGATTCTTTTAGGTCTTAATCTAAATATTTTAGGTTCCGTTTTGAAGTTAAATAGGTGTAGTATATTATAAAATAGTGTGTCCATGAAATTGTGTTGAATTTGATTTGATTTGATTTTAACAGTGTGAAACATTTTTAATATTATGGTATCCTCTTATGTCAGTTGTATTGAATTAGGAAATGATTGTATTTTAATTGATGGATTATTTTCAGGGGAGCATGGATTTACATGTGAGCACTGCAGTAAAGCTTTCAATCGCCGTGCACGTTTACTCATGCACGTAAAGTACGTGCATGAAGGGGCTAAGCCCTATGAATGTGAGCAGTGCAGCAAAACATTTGTGAGGAAAGAAGATTTGGCACGACATAACATATTGCATTCTGGAATAAAAGGTTTACAAATCTTTACTATATTAATTTAACTCTGATCATGATAAGAGTTATGAACTCATGAGTGTAAAATTGAAGTCAGTTGGCATCATTGTACATGGCCAAAACTATCAGGCTATCATTATTTAATGAAATCTTGTTTCATAAGCTTTCCAACCCTTCATGTGCTACTGTTAAATTAATATGTATGTATATTTTATCTGTATATCTTATATTGTAAACTCCCTTATTACTCTAAAACTGAGTAATTTTTGCCTATCTATTGTTATCAGCTTTCTCACACACTTCTATAGTTATTTTTTTGTAATTTTAACATTCATTTGTTCATATTGTTTAATAAATAATATATATTACTTACAAATCTCACTTAAGTACAAGAGTTTAATTACTAGAAGTATTCTATTCTCAACTAATTGGGTTACATCAATTCATTATCTCATGATTTTCAACATTCAGATATGTGGAGTAAAAATTGCTCTCACTGCACAATATGTTTTATCAATATAAAAGTTTGAAAAGGATAATGATTATATAATTTCATTTGGTTATAGCCCATAAATGCCCCATCTGCCAGAAGGCATTTGCTATGAAGTCATCATTGAAGATACATCTTTTGACGCATACTAAGGTGTGTATAGTACAAAATATTTTGCGAAATATATTCTGCGGTCTTTAACAATTCTTTTTAGTGAATTATGTAAAAACATAATTTGTAACATAAACACACACACACAACAACAACAACAACAACAACAACAACTACAAATAGTTTGACCTATCATTTGCATTAGAAAGAAAATGGTGATCTATTTTATACTGAAATTGAGTTGTTTGACCCAAGTGAATAATTATTGAGGTTTATTCAATTCATTTTATTTGCTGTGACGTATGTCACTCTCAGCCTTGGAGGGTTAATTAGTGTTATGGTTTGCATGTCTATCTGCTGATATTTTTAAAGCATAATCTACAAAATCCTACAAAAAACAAAACAAAACAAACAAAAATTAAATGTTTAAATTATATTAAAACAAGAAAACAGTACATGGCATAAGAAAGAAGTATTATCTGTGCATTTTCTTGGGCTTCAGAAACCCTACCCATCACTTTTAATACATGTATTTGAATTGTGAATAAAAGCACCAATAAGCACAGCCACATTTAAAAAATAGAAATCTTTGTTCTTGAATAGCAGAAAAATGTAATTCCTGTGGCAAACTGGGAACTACAGATTTGATTTTAGAATATTGCTGACAAAATAACAATTCTCTACCCTACTCCTTCTACAAATAAGAAAGAGCTAAATAATATGTGTGCAAAGTGAAGCTGTATTTATGTCCAGAAGAAAAGCAAGGGAACGCGAAGACATTTGCTCAATAGATCTGGGGCAACACGACAAGTATTGGATTGGTATAGTGATTGTGAAGTTGTTGTACATTGTTACAAGCATTGTCTTTTAGAATGGTACAATCAAATAGTAACAAATGCTCTTATAACATTATTAAAATAAATATCATTTCAATTTTTGATTGCCAGTGTAGTGTCTCAACATATAAGAACACACTTGTACTGTAGGAAAGATTTTACCTGATATTTAAACTTCTGTATCATTTTGACATATTTAACCCATTCATTTCTTCCCAAATTGTGTTTTGGTAAAACTTTCACAAATAAAAAAAAAAAAAAGAAATTATTTATTTATTTATTGTAAGAAAATATTCTTGTAGAAACTAGATTAGTAAATATTTCATTTATTTAAATAAAAAGAATTAACTCCTTGTTACAGCCTTATGTATTCTTATTTCATCTATTTAAAAAAATCTAATTCGCCATCATCTTTTTTTTGATCTTCAGAATTAATTGTCTGACTTTTTGTTGAAAAAACAGGAACCACCTCGCTCATGTGATGAATGTGGGCGTGCATTTATTCGTCAGGATTGCTTGCTACGTCATATGAGAACAAAGCATAGAGATATGCTTGAAGAAATTCTTGCAGAAGCTGAAAAGAAGAAGTTGCAGCAACAACTGCTTGCTGCCGCCACAGATGCCAGTGATTCTGCTCCTATCTCATCTGACCCAGGGACATTGAGTGATAGTGCACTTGCAGATTCTATACGTGAACTGCTTACTTTACTTGTTGATGAAGCTACCTTAAAAGTATTTGGATGGCCAGATGCTACTGTGGATCAACTATTAGAAGCAGTCATTCGGCGATGTGGTCACCAACCAGTACCTTCAGAGGATCTTGCATTTACAGATAGACTCCGTGAAAATGCAAAATTATTGTTCACTGTTGTTATTGATGATTCAGCTGTAAAAACACTTCTGAACAATCAAACTGTTGATGAAGTTATACTTCATGTTCTGAGATTGGCAAAATCATGAAAGAAGGATATGTATTTTATTGACACAGTTTAATATAATCTCTCTTACAGATATCAACAATGGTTTTGTCACTAACAAAGCAAGGGTATAGGAATGTAATATAATGAAGGAAGCATGACCTTCAAAACATATACTCAACTAATACGTTTTTTGAATATATTATATTGCTGTCAATTGCTTTTTAGCAGATAAATGTTTGGAGGTATTTTGTCAATTGAAGTGTTACTGAATAAGTGACATAGAATTTACCTGCAATAACAGTACTACTGTATTCCACATTTGAAATGGTTTACAGGGGAACTCTGTGCCTTAGTGTTGTCTGTCTGAGCCCACTGTTTTTATGGAAACTATGTTTACCAAATGAAACAAAATCATTCGTTATGTTTAGAATAATCAGTCTCTTGTGTAATTTGAACCAGGGTCTTGCAAAAATTTCAGGTATATTTTAATTCATTTAGATTGTAAAGTAATTCTGTCCTTTGTTAGTGATAATTTCACTTTTCTAATGCCTTTAACTACAGTTTCTTTTTGTTTATTGTTGTAGTGCTTCCGTTTACTTAACTCTTTGTTTTGCTGTAAGAAAGAATTTTGGTATCTTATTTTTTAAGGAGTGTGTGAAGAAAAATTGCACATATGTAGCCTTATCTTTTTTTTTTTCTTTTTTTTTTAAGTTTTGGAATTTTTTTCTGTTGTTTTCTTTCTATTTTGTCCATGAAAGATTGTTTATGTTAAAACCATTCATTAATGTGCGTTATTTACTAAATCTTTGGAGACTTATACAAATCAGTATAGTAGTTAAAAACCTTAATATTTTTTAACAGCTTTTTCTTTATTTGTGTTGTACATGTGCATCTTTTAGCACTTAAGATTGGCTTTTTGTTAAGAGGAAACTAAATAACTAGGTTATCAAATGTAATTGTATTTACATTCTTGTGTATTATTAAGTAAGAGCATTTTTACACTACACAGAAGTGGAATCATCATAGCATATAATGAAAAAGTTTAGAAGCATAAATTATTACTCTTTTGCATTAATATCTCAATCGTAAATTCTTATATTCTTTCTCCTCTATTTTTGTAACTTGATGGAACTAATAATAAATACTCATTGTCTGTGAGCCAGGACATGTGAGAAAGCCTTTCACTTGATAATAGCATAATAGCATAGTAGTTCCTATCTAGATGACATTGTGCATGTTGCTGCATTTGGCTTCCAGTGGGTGTTGAGTTAACCAGTTCCTAAACTATTATTACGCTGTGTATTATTCATGACTCATGAGACTATTAAATAATATGAATATTGTACCTGACTGAACTTGGCCAATAAGGATTCTTTTAATCTGGTGTAGAAGAATCATACTTTCAGCAATATTGCTAAAACATGTAAATATTGTTTCAATATTTACTTTGCAATATGAACATAGCAATTGTAGTACCCTGTGTTGTGTCTGTATCTTATGTAGTAATTCTACAAACTATGACTGTTCATCAGTTAAGAATGTGAGGAAATGAAAATTTTAAGAAGCATTAAGTTGTATTCTCCTATGAATTATGTATAAGATTGGCACTTGTACAAAACAGCCAATTGCAGTGATCACTTGATTGCTTTGTTACGTGTGTGATCTCTGTAATTGATGGTTTCTAGAAAAATGCTGCCGTAATTGCAAAGTGTCAATCATATACTAATTTTAATGACAAATTAACTGGTGGTAATGTAAGAGATGTAATTGTGTCTATTCCTTTTTGATTCAAGATTAAAACTATTTACTTGTTTCTCTAATGAACTCAATTTCAAGAATAGGGCTCAACATTTCTTGATTTTCATAGTCTTTCTCAAAGTATTTGCGTGGAAATTTTCTCATAAGCTGATTTGCCTGCACTTGACATTGATGATTTTATTTACAGGATGTGGAAGGCCAAATTACTCCATTTTATATCATAATAGAATCCCTAATTTTTCCATAGAAATCTATAACAATTATAACTTATTTTCATGGTCCTTCATTGGTTTCCATGTCACTAAAACAATGAAAACATCCTTGTCTTTTGAGGTATAGTAATATTATTATACTATTATAGTAATATGCATATACCTGTATCAATCCCATACTTGTGAAAATTGATATGTGTAATAGTTTGCCCTCTGTCAAGATACAGATTGTTAAACCTTTCACTAAACTTTTAAAAACTTAGTTAATATCAAGTTCTGTTTCACAAATTAAACGTTCTCAAATTCCTGATACCAAGATTCTATTTTGAGATGACGTGGAAGAACAAAAAACTGACATAATCATACAGATATACGAGTATTACAAATCATTATATAATCTTGCAGACTGAATACTTTAAAGGAGATGAATACTTATTCTTCTTTCTTAATGAATTAACCAGATTTCTGGTATTTGTAGGCTGAGGTTTAGATGTACTACCCATTGAAATTCTCTCTATATAATTATTCCCCTTACAAATATAGATCATATTATGTATTTCTTGCCACACAATGAATTAACTGAATTTCTGATATTTGTAGGCTGAGGTTTAGATGTACCCATTAAAAATCATTCTCACTTCCCCTTTCTCTCTTTCTTTTGTGTGTGTTTTTCTTCATGGTAGCAAATGGTTATTGCTATCTTGGAACAGTTGGGTTTTTCTTTTTTAATATACTTCGTGATTTGTGGTGTGATAGAAATGTTAATTTGTTTCTGTCAAATGTAATTTCCGAATGAAAAATGTATTAAAATCAGCAGATAATGAATGCCAATGTTTTGTTGAAGTGTATGCAAAATTTTACATGGTGAAAATTTTTTCAGTATTAATATCTTTAAATTTTAGGATTAGTTATCGAAAGCTTTGGAACGAATTACTTCTCAGTAATAGTAGTGAACACAATATTAGATCAGTTTTTGAAGCTGTTCTCTCAGACATTAAATTTTTGAATTAAAATATTTGTTTAAATTTCTTGAAACCTTATATCCACATTGATTTTATTATAAAGAATAAGCTGTTGGTAATATACAGATTACAAACATTTTGTGATAAAACATGTATTTATTTTTTGTATTCATTTGTCCAAAGAAATACATATGAAATAACAGAATATTTACAATAAGAATTCATCATATGCAAAATGGTGGCAGTATAATGTACAGGGGGAGTCACGTAACTTTAGCACCTCCTAAGACTTTTGAAAGATTAAAGATATTGTAATGCAGTTTTCACAGAAGTGCATGCGGGAATGGGGCGAATTGATTGATAAATTTGTATTTTATCACGTATTTTGTGAGATATTTGGGCTAACCGCGTTTTTTCAATTGGAACTATACATATTTTTGTGGTCTGTCATGACGAGCGTAAAAAGGCAAATCCAATGATACACATATTGTCGTATGTTAGACAAGCATATTTTTTTCAGTAATTTTGATTTTGGCGTGTTTAACGGATATTTTGAATGTAACAGTCCGCCACACAAGGTCACGCAGCGCTCCCCCTGCTAGCGCGTGCTGGGGGAAGGGAAGGGATTTTAATATTTGAAGATACGAAACATATTCCAGATATTGATAAAACTGTTGCAGATTTTTTCCTGAACTCTCCTTTCTATTCTTTCGTATTTTCATATGTTTTGTATTAAGGATTGGAAAAACAGATTTGTCATATGTATTGAAATAAGATTTATTTCAACTTATTTAAAGGGGTGTCATGCCTCAAGATATTAATGGGATCTTGACACTAATCACACTGCAACAGTTTTGTGACTATTTAGAATATGTTTCGTATCTTCAAATACTAAAATCCCTTCCCTTCCCCCAGCACGCGCTAGCAGGGAGAGCGTAGCGGACTATTACATTGAAAATATCCGTTAAACACTAGTCTCGAAAAAGGCTTATCTAAAATATGACAAATATATATATATATATATATATATATATATATATATATATATATATATATATATATCATTGGGTTCGTTTTTTTACACTCATTATGATACACTGGAAAATATGTATAGTACCATTTGAAGACCAAAATTATATCAAATATCTGGCACGTCAAGTGATAAAATAGAAATAAATACTTGTATCAATTAGCCCCATTCCCTCATGCACTTCCGTGAAAACTGCATTACATTATCTTTAACCTTTCAAAAGTTATAGAGGCGGTAAAGTTACGTGTCTGATCCTGTATACTAAATTATTGTGGAAAACAAATCTCCTAATCATTCTGCCTTAATACTTTCTCAGATCACATTTGGCAGCTATTAGAGCAGTCATTCTTTTTGGCATGCCATTAATGCGCGACTGAACTGTCTCTCGCAACTTTGGATGATTGTATCAGACTTGAATTATTCTCACAAGGAAGCGAGTTTTTGTTATTCCCACCTTAGCTATTTCCCAGACATTTTCTATCGGGTTCATGTCTGATGAATTTCCTGACCGTGGTAACATGGACATTTTTCTCCAACAAAAATGATCGAACTGTTCAAGCAGTGTGTCATGGAGCCCCATCTTGCATTAAAAAAATTGAATCATTCCGTTCATGCAGCAGTCGGGTCTCGAGCAGACCCACCTGTGTGTACTGGTTTTTTCTCAATATGCCCTTAAGCACGTACAGGTGACACATACTTTTGACAAAGATCACAGACCAAAATATTACATTGACTGGACATTTCACAGTCTGAATGATACTTTTCACCAGGGTGACTAATCGCAAATGGTTGCTATAATATAGAAAGTGCATTTGTCGCTAAAACAACCTGAAATACAAATTAAGTTAATTAAAAAAACTAATTAGGCTTTCATTGAGAAATTGGTTGTAATTATTGCAAAATCTCTCCACTAATTTTCTGAAGTCCAAATCCTTATTTCCTTCGCCCAAGCAAGACATTTGTTATAGCATTTGCTAATCAGGGCGGGTCTGCATGTTTTAAAATGCATTTGTAGTATGCCTTACTGTCCTTTCATATCACTAGCGGATCCAGGGGGTGTCATGTCCTTTCCAAGACCTAGAGTTTTCGTTTATCTTCCTTTATTTCGCAAATTTGGTTTAAATATTTATGTTCTAATTATGTAATTACTTAAACTAATATTGTAAGGTTTTGTATCTAGTACATAAATAATATACAATACATTAACAAATATATTTATTATTTAACAAAAATCTTAATACCTCCCCATCCTCCCAATAATTGGATCAGCAACTGTTTCATATATATATATATATATGACACTACTTCCCAATTTAAATTAAATATGTTTAAACAGATTAGCAAACCGGTGTTCGGTGCTGATTAGCAAACCGGTGTCAAATCTTCAAACAACTTGAGATAAATATTATTTTCCGTCCACTCGTGTCCGACCTCTGAGGACAATTTGTCACCGACTTTTCTTGGTTCGCCAAACGGATGCCTCATAATATCAACGCGTTTACCCTTCGAATATCTCAAGGTTTATATAATTTTGTGTCAACTCTCACAACGGCGATCTTCCGACGAGACACCATCAAAGACTCCATACGTCCGTCCCTTCCTCCATCCATTCACCCACCCATCCTCCCACACATCCATCCATTCGTCCGTCCGTCCATCGCTCAGGGAAGGGAAGCAATTCCAGTTTTCTCAGTATTTGAAGATACGAGAAATATTCACTTCAAGGTTTCACGAAAATTTGATATGTATGATATTTCCTTCTTAAATGCCTTCAAAGAGTAGTGAAAGTGAGAAAATCGAAGTATGGCGCCAAATTTCAATTAATTTGGCCGTCCATGTACAAAAAACTAATTTGAAATCAAATTATCAAAATGTAAAGCAAAATATCGAAATGGAAGGGAAAAACGTTGAAAAACATATTTTCATTAAATTCTGCATATAAATGTATATAATTAATAACTTAAGGATGTCTTCGGGAAAAGTTTATGGTTAAAAAATTGACAATTTTTGATTCATAATTACCTTTAAATCACAAAGAATTTTCGGGACTATAAAAAAATTTGTATAAAATGATATTGATTAAATTTTCTTATACGTATTTCAACTTAAGTTCTTGTTTTACACAAAACTCTATGACGATTTCCAAAATTTACTTTTGTTTTGAGTAGATTCGGTTTTGCTTTAATTTGGTTTTATAATTGATAAACTTATGTATCCGCAACAACAACTATTTTTTTTGTTTTAATGTCATAAGTGTTGTAGAATTCAATGTGAAAATAATTCGTGCGTGACGTGCATCATGTTCACAAACGGATTTTGATGCTAGTAAACGTGAGCATTAAATCTGTAATAACATCTGTAATAATCATGCTCTGTTATAACTTTATAAGGTTCATAAAAAAACAGTACATTAAATTGTAAAAGGAAAAATAATGTGGTTTAAATGAAATAAATATTAGTTAACTATTATTCATTTCGGAGATTGTGAATAAAATACCTTCATTCATTGCTATAATCACTAGCCATATTATTAGCCGCACCCCCAATTCTTAACAAAATGTTCATTTTTGAAGTCATCCACTGAAATACATTACATCTGGCGTTGTTGTAAATTAATAAATGAAAACAAAGCTGCTTTTCCTAAGAATTAAAATATTATTGGTCGTAAAGAAACCATTGCTGAGACACTGAGTGGTCGTTTACATACTACTAAAGCTACACTCAAACTACTAAAGCTCAATGGAACAAATAACATGAGTGAGTGTTGTTTCGTAAAATAATTTTTCTCATTTATTATTAGTTTGTGTAATAGAGCGATTTTTATAAGAATGGGACGTTTTGACATCTAGTGCTGGCAACACAACTGAAGGTTCTGTGGTCGTTGTGTCCTTGAACCTAATATACTCTCCTTCCTGCATTCGTTCGTCTGCAGTTGGCTAACTTGTAAATGGATTCGACTCTTCTTTTTGTGATGTCCTCGTCCTACGAATATATAGTGCGCCATGGCAAATAATTGAAATTAGGAAGTGAAGAGCTATGTGCTCTTCTGTAAAAATAGTTTTTAAATAAACATTACATTGAATTTAGTTTTTTATGTGACAAATATTATGTTTGTTTCAAAAACCGAGTCTTTAATGTGAGGTGCGTGCTGGTGACCATGCACATTTCTTCGTTGTAAGGTGGCAAGCTGTGTTCGAGAGCGTTTCGTGGTCCCGTGCTATGCTTTTTATATTTATTTTTTATATAATTGTGACACGCTTGTGAAAAGTAAGTGAAACTCTTAGACGTATTTATAGTGATGTCTCCGTGGGAGCCGTAAACATACATTAAAAAGGGATATGGCTGAACAGCTGCCGAATCGGAAGGATACTTCTCTGAAATAAACGTGATGTTCATTTGTTTATCGAACTCTCACTTTGGTCCGTTCTTATAAAAATCGCTCTTTAGTTGTAGCCTTGTATATTTGTACGCACTGTTATGTGGTTAATAATTGTCTAATGTTATACGCAAAAAAATTAAGTTTTGGAAAAAGATCACTTTCCGGCCCACGATTACAGATCTTTCTCTTCTTACGAAGTACTTCGTAAGGCGAGAAAAGTTGGCTCCATCGTTTTTGTTTGAATTTTGTTGTTGGATAGTGTGAAGAACGTTTAAGAGAATTGTGTAAGGCTCATTTTCTTTAAAAGCTTGGATTTTCTAAAATTGCAAAAATTAAAAACACGTCTTTCTACAACTGCAATTAGGAAGATAGAGATTTGTTACGTTAAAGAAATCTGTTGCTTAAACAAAGATTTTTAAATAAGTTCATGTACAATTTTTCAAAAAGTAGAGTACGTTTCGCGTATTTTACGGATGAGAAAGTACGTGCTGTTTTAGCACCACTAGTTTTTGCGCAGTATTACATCACTTTCTCTCTACTGCGTAAGCGGTAGTGAGAAAGTTAAATTTAGAGTAATTTTTGAGAAATTTTGAAAATGTCCCTGGCGCTTCATGTAAAGTACTTTAATTTTTTTTTTC